GTAGTATAGCATGCCAGCATTTGAAGCTCCAAACAGCCCTGGAGGCAGTGGCCATTCGAGCTGTACTTTTTAACAAACTCATTACCATATGTTCTGTGTACATACCACCACATCAACAGCTACACAGACGTGATCTAGAATCACTAATAGATGAACTCCCGGAGCCATTTCTGGTTCTAGGTGATTTTAATGCACACAATGTCCTGTGGGGCGATGCTCACTGTGATGCGCGAGGACGTCTCATTGAGCAGCTCCTTTTCTCTTCTAGTTTATGTCTTTTAAATATGAAGGAGCCTACCTATTTTAGCCTTGCAAGCAACACATACTCCTCCATAGATCTTAGCATTTCATCACCGTCCCTTTTACCTGTTTTTAAATGGAACGTTCTTAAAAACCCTTATGGGAGTGATCACTTCCCAATCATCCTGAGTGCGCCGAACAAAGATCAACTACCCCCGCAGGTTCCTCGATGGAAGATTGAGTCAGCTGATTGGGAAGGGTATAGAACTCTTACACACATGACATGGACTGAGCTGTCTGCCCTGACCATAGATGACGCTGTCACGTATTTTACAGCTTTTATACTTGATGCCGCATCTAAATGTATTGCCAAAACGAGTGGCATGTCTTCTAAACTGCGAGTCCCATGGTGGAACGACGCATGCAGGAAAGCACGGACCACTCAGAACAAAGCATGGGCGTTGCTTCGCGATTCCCCTACAGCAAAAAACCTGGAAAATTTCAAGTGGGTCAAATCGCAGGCACGGAGAACGCGTCGACAAGCTAGACGAGAGAGCTGGACAAAGTTTATATCGAGTATCAACTCGTACACAGATGAGGGAAAAGTGTGGATTAAGGTAAAGAAAATTATGGGCCAACAAACGTATTCTCTTCCACTAGTAAATAGCCTCGGCGAAAGCTTGGAGGATCAAGCCAACTTTCTTGGCACACATTTCGAACACATATCGAGCTCCTCACCCTACTCCGAATCCTTCCAGAATTACAAGGCACGAATAGAAAAGCAAAAGTTAGAAAGAAAATCCCCAAGAAATGAGGCATATAATGCACCATTCTGCTTAGCAGAACTGCGAACAGCACTCACCTGCTGTAATACATCTACCCCAGGTTCTGACAACGTAATGTACGCGAGGCTGAAGGAACTACCCTCCGAAACTAAAGAAACCCTCCTCTCTCTTTATAATCGCATATGGTTTTCAGGTGTGATCCCCTCCTCCTGGAAGGAGGCTGTTATAATTCCAATTTCGAAGCAGGGAAAGGATCCCTCTACTGTATCAAGTTACAGACCTATAGCGTTAACAAGCTGCCTGTGTAAGCTATTTGAAAAAATGATTAATTGCCGCTTACTCCACTACTTAGAAACAAACAATTTGCTCGACCCATTTCAGTGCGGGTTTCGAGAAAGTAGATCCACCACAGACCACCTTGTTCGTATTGAGGCACAGATCAGAGACGCCTTCGTCCATAAACAATATTTTCTCTCTGTGTTCCTCGATATCGAAAAGGCTTATGATACAACATGGCGTTTTGGAATTCTAAGAGACCTGTCCCACCTTGGTGTGCGCGGAAGAATGTTTCACATAATTGAAAGTTACCTGTCAAACCGAACATTCCGTGTCCGTGTGGGCAGTGTTCTCTCCCGAACATTTGTCCAGGAAACCGGCGTGCCGCAAGGTGGTGTACTTAGTTGCACACTTTTTATTATCAAAATGAATTCCTTGCACTTGTCCATCCCCCGCAATATGTTTTATTGTACATATGTCGACGACGTTCAGCTTGGCTTCAAGTCATGCAACTTGGCAATGTGTGAGCGGCAGGTTCAGCTGGGTTTGAACAAGGTCTCCAAATGGGCTGATGAAAACGGATTTCGACTTAACCCACAAAAAAGCACCTGTGTCTTGTTCTCTCGAAAGAGAGGCATGCATTCGGAACCTGACATTGAACTGAACGGTCAACGTCTGTCTGTCACTGCGGAGCATAAATTCCTAGGCTTAATCTTGGACAACAAGTTGACCTTCGTACCGCACATCAAGTATCTAAAAACAAAATGTTTAAAAGCCATGAATGTTATAAAAGTGTTGTCACGTACTATGTTGGGTAGTGACAGGCAATGTCTCATCAACCTGTATAGAAGCCTCATTCGCACCCGCTTAGACTATGGGGCCGTTGTTTATCAGTCTGCGACTCAAAGTGCTTTGAAGATGCTGGACCCCGTGCACCATTTGGGCATCCGTCTTTCTACGGGTGCTTTTCGCACCAGCCCCGTAGAAAGCCTTTATGTTGAGTCAAATGAGTGGTCGCTTCATCTGCAGAGAACTTACATGTCCTTTGTATACTTCCTGAAGGTGAAAGCAGACAAGAAGCACCCCTCATACTCTACTATTAATGATCTGTTGAGCTCCATTCTGTTCCAAAACAGGCCTTCAATGAGGCAGCCCTTCTCAGTACGCCTGAAGGGTCTAGCTGAAGAAACTGAAGTGTCACTTGAACACAGTTTAATGGCTCCTGTAGCATACCCGCCACCGTGGCAGTGGCAGATTATAGACTGTGATGTGTCGTTCCTAGAAGTTACAAAACATGCGCCTATTGCCCATATCCGAACATACTTCCTGGAACTTCAACACAAATACACACGTCCTGAGTTTTTTACAGATGCCTCTAAGTCCAACTCCTCTGTGTCCTACGCTGCTGTCGGCCCATCCTTTTCGGATGCTGGCCCTCTACATCCAAGCACAAGTATCTTCACAGCAGAAGCTTACGCGATACTTGTGGCAGCTAAACACATCAAACAACTACAAATACAAAAAGCAGTAATTTATACAGACTCCCTCATGGTTGTAACGGCTCTGCGCAGTCTTAAAAAACAAAAAACCCTGTCCTCGTCTCACTTTATTCTATTTTATGCACACTCTACACACTCAACCAACGTGTTGTAGTGTGCTGGGTGCCAGGGCACCGTGAGATTCAAGGCAACGTAATGGCGGATCAGCTTGCTGCATCCGCCCACGAAAGCACCGCCATTACACCCACATCAATCCCGGCCCTTGATCTTAAGCCGTCTCTCAAACGAAAACTCCGGGACTACTGGCAGAGCAAGTGGGATACACACACACAAAACAAACTACACGTTATCAAGCCACACCTTGGTCATTGGCTGCCAGTATCAAAATCGCTTCATACACAGGTCATACTAACGAGACTCAGGATAGGACACATATACACGACACACACATATCTTTTGTCTGGTGGCGACCCACCATTGTGTGACAGATGCGGTGAACCATTGACCGTCCTTCACGTGTTAATCCAGTGTAAACACTTAGAAACTATAAGAAAACAGCATTTTCCATTACCCTACCGACAACATATACCTTTACACCCTGCAATGTTCGTTGGTAGGGAACCACTTTTTAGTCATAAATCATTGTTATCGTTTTTAAAAGAAATTCGTAATTTTCATATCATATACCTGGGCATCCCGTAGCTCGACCTCTCCAGGGAGGTTTTTGCTGTGGTGGCTACACAGGAAAGCACTTGCCTCACGGCCCTTGCACGCAAGGGTATGAACCAGTGAGGCACTTGTGCTAATGCCATACATATACACCATCGTTTTTTATTATCACCAACTTTTCTATTCACACCACACACACCTTTCACGGCATGGTCATGATTTTATTACTTGTATGTTTTTACCCGCCTTACCGCGAGGAATTTTATAGCCCTTATACAGCCGCTGATCACAATCATTGTCCACATTCCTTGTCGCATGAACTGGCGCTCTTTGGCCATCAAGTGGCCCTTGCGCCAAAAAACACCATATATCATCGTCATCATCATCGTTGATCATCAAACACCAGTATCAAATCACCGACGTTAAAGTGTTTTGCCTTCACCCTTTTGTTGAATTGGGCAGCGTAGGTGTTTTGCGATTTCGAGCTGACCATTTGCGCAACCTGCGCCGCGCGCCTAAGCCGCCCTCGTAATTCTTCCATGTACGCCGCTGGCGACGCCCCCAACTCTCCCGGCACTGCAGTTTCCCCTGTCCAAGCCCTCTTACGTATACCTAATGGACCCGTTGGTTGCCTCCCATACAGCATCTCAAAAGGCGCTACTCCGGTCGTATTGTGTGGGACTTCCCTGTACCCCCACAGCAAGAAAGGCACAAATTGATCCCAATTCCTACCGTCCTTCTCTATTATGTGGTATAGCATGTTCTTAAAGGTCCTGTTCCATCGCGCGACCGCCCCATTATTCTCAGGGTGCCCCGGTGTGGAAAATCGAGGGAAGCAACCCAGTTTAGACAAAAACTCTCTTGTCAGTGCCACTGTAAAGTTAGTGCCGCAGTCGGACGCTATAACCTCGGGTATGCCTGTTCTGCTAAATACTGCCAGCAGTGCATCGCAGGTTGCCCTAGCGCTTAATGAACGCAAACACACCACCTCGGGCCAGCGCGTGCATAAGTCGATGATGCATAAACAGTACTTATGGCCCCGGCCTGATACTGGCTCCAGCAGTCCAATAACGTCCACGTTAACCTGCTGAAACGAATATCTTGGTCTCGTAAGGGGTTCGATCGGGACGCTGTCCCCGCGACGCCAGTCTGCCCTCGCCTGGCAACCATGACAACTGGTGCAGTGCCGTCGTACGTCGTCTCCTATGCCTGGCCAATAAAAACTGTACTTGATCCTAGAGCATGTTTTACGGCAACCAAAATGCCCGGCCCAGCTTGACTCATGCGCCAGTTGCAAAACTTCCCCTCTGCGGCATTCCGGCAGTACCAGCTGCGTTACCGATTGCCCCAACACCTTATCCTTATGATAAAGTAACCCGTCTATTACTAGCATATTGCCTTTTCTTGTCTCTGCTCCTCTCCACGCTTCCTGTAAAGTCGGGTCTCCCCGTTGTTTCTCGCAAAACTCATCTGACGTGGACCTCTCCGTCACGCCGACGCTCGGGGCTTCGTTATGCAACACGCTGTCGTCCTAACGCCACACGGCCTCGGCGTGCTGAGGCTCGCTTTCGAACTCTGGCCGAGCGCCGCCCACTTCTGAGGTACCCTTCACTACCCCTTCGAGGGTGCTCTCCTCGTGTAGTAGTTTCCAAGCTTCTTCGGAAAGTAGGCAATCTGTTCGTGCCGTTAGACGGTCCGTTAACACGCACAACACTGTAACTGGTTCCCTCACGTCGGAAAACACTCCACGCTCGCGCGACATAGTGGAATAACTGCGAGCTTGGCCTGTACTTTCTCCCCGAACGCCGAAGTCAGGTTGACCACCCCATGCCGTTGCACCAACTCTGGCGAGACCACGCTCTCACGGACTACTGTAATTTCCGCACCTGTGTCCAACACTGCTCCGATATGTTTGTCTTTGCAGTCGAGCGATACTGGGATTAAATCACTGTGTGTGGCTGGGGGACCTTCAATCGAAACACGTGCCGCCAAGCTGTCTTCTTTACTGTTCGGAAGCACTTCCGTCGGCTGTTTCTGACGCTGCGGGCAATTCCATTTCTGGTGCCCTGTACTGCCGCAACTGTAGCAGGCCCTGGGCTTTGGTTTCCCCTCCACGATACGGTTTTTCCCAGCCCCGCGGCCCTTCATTGTCTCTTCGTCGGATCTAGCCCTGCTCGCGCTTTTCGACTCCACCACGCTTTGCTTCGCCTGCCTCGCGGCGCTGTTTGTCCCCTGTGCTTCTTCAAACGTTCGCAGAAACGCGGATATCTCTGGGGCGCTTATCCACGCTCTACCTTCTTGGAGTGTGACATATCGCAAGGCCTCCTCCGACAAATTTTTCTTTAATTGGTCGGCCACCAAAAGCTTGACTAACCCTTCCAATGTCGACACCCCTCTTGCCTCAAGGTAAAAGTGGAGGTAGCGCTCTAAACTTGTCGAAAAAGGTCTCCACCCCTCGTTCGCACGCTTACCTGACCCCAAAAATCTTTTTTAGATATTCCCCGGCTGAAAGTCTGAGCTCGTCAAGCACCGTTTGCTTGATTACCTGACAATCTTTGTGCTCTGCTGGGCTTAGCCGGGTGGACAAAAACGGGACTCTTTCCGCTACCAACGGGAAAACTAAACGTCCCCTAAACTCCCCCGGTACCTCGTACGCTTCTAGGGCACTCTCCACGAACTCAAACCACACCGGTGCTTTAGCCTCGGCTGCAAATTTTGGTAACACCCCTGTGAGGACTTTTGAGTAGCGTCTCAGTTCGCTACACGGATCCCGCCTGCCGAACTCGGGTCCACTCCACCGAGAGCTTCCGCCCATCATCTGTGATAGCCTCTCCATCTCCAACCGCAATTCCTGCAGTCTACGCTCCGGCGTGAGGTTTCCGAAACGGTCATCTTTCTGGCTCTCCCGCGCACTACCCTCTCCCGGGTTTCCCACGTCGCTCTCGTCCTTTAACTCACGACTCATGGCCTGCGCTCGCCTGACCGGGTTCAAGTGGGCAAACCTCGTGTCCATAGGACACCTTAAAACTCAAAAATAAAGGCAGCGGCACCCCTGAGATGTAAGAACACCAGAGGACTCACCACTTTTGAAGTTTCTTCTCGCTGGTTGCTCGACGTCGCCGGGGTTGTCACCGGACTGATGAATTGGGATGACCGAAGCTGGACCCCTGGCCTCCTCGGGTCGATGGCTGCCACACTGCCGCCTCCTCAGCTTGGTGGCTTGGCTCTTCGTTGGAACAGCCGATGTCTTGGCTTTTGGTCTTGTGTGTTCTCCGCAACACGACGATCTCCTTGTTGCGCAGAGCGCTCCTTGTCGTCGTCGTCTCGATCCTGTCGGACTGCGCCAGTAAAACTAAACCTCCTACCCATTCCCTCTTTTCCCTTGAGCAGAGCTCTCCCAGCCGCACCGCAGTTGTTGCTACAGAAGGGAGTGGAAGGTTGGTTGCTTCTCGGTGTCCGTCTTGTGTTCTCGTGGCTGCTGCTGCTTGTTCAGATATGGAAGCCAGCACATCTCAAACGTGACAACAACTAGATTTTATATACACAAACTTATGTACATATTTACAAGACTTGACCGCCGGAACCGTGGCATGTTGCCTCGGCAGAGCCGATAGTGCAGAGCACTCCTTGTTGCGACCAGAAGCCACCGCGAGGACTCGGAAGCCAGGTTTTAATACCTCGGTTGCCCCTCCCGATTCTCCTCCCGGCCAACCAAAGCAATTTAGTCTGTTTATTGGACAGACAACACACTTGTTGCCGTCCCCTCCTCTCCCTCTCTTCTTCCCGCACTCGACTGCTCGGTCGGAAAGAGAGAGACGAACGGACCGGCCTGTACACCACGTTCCACGAACTGTGCGAACGCACACAATGGTGGCGCGGTTCGGCTGCGGGCCCCCTCCATTACTGCAGGATGACTACGCTGTCCAGCACGACAGCCGTCCCGCGGACTCTAAACCTGACGGATGGGTGGCTATGCACTGTTCTCACGTCACCCGCCGGCATTCCGCAGTCCGGGGACCCTTTAGTGGGTTTCTAGAAGCCACGACTGACCGCGTTATTCTTGCCAGAGGGGGCGCGCTTACGCCGAGATGATCGTTTCCCGAGAATCAGCTTTTTGGGAAGCGCGCCCTTTTGAGACTGAGAAGACTCGCTTCCATGGCCTGCACCACCAGACCTTACAAGAAGGTTATCTGATTGGTGGCTAAAGTCAAGGCACGAGTGAAAATTAGACCCTTCACTGCGAAGTACGAATCCTCAACTTTATTATTTAAAGGAAAAAAAGACAAATGTAATGGTTAGTTCACTAAGTTTTACGGCTAGGTGGCGTTAGCTGCCGCCCGATCTAAATGATACAGCCACATCCATCCGTCCATCCATCCATGAAACCGAATTTAAAAGCTGGTATGCGTCGTTGGCTTGGCGCACCTCGTGGCACACCTGACAAGTCGTTGGTAAACCGGCGGCGATTACCAGCAAACCCTGCAGTACGAAAAACAGTTTCCTGCTTAGCGTCAAGGCATTGCCGGGTCCGCCGTGCCCAATGAAGTGGTAGTCGTGAGGCATCCGTTTTAAATCCCCGAATAGGTTTGGAGGCGGCGCCATGTGATTTCTTGTAGTTTCGTGAGTGTGGGATGCGGCTGTGGTTTTGTTCGATGTGCGAGATGATAGTGCTGAGCGATTTTGTGATAGGAATGAGGGGCTCGCTATAGTTCTCTGGGTTCATGGTGAGGCCCACCACTCGGTTGACATATTCTCGAGCTTGTCGGTGGACGGCCTCGTTCCCCGGGTTTCCTGCGTGTGCCGGGACCCATATAAGAGATATGAAAAGCGGATCCTTCTCTTCGAGGTAGGCGGGGGACTCAAGGAGCCGTAAGATAGCGGGAGCGAAATGGGAGATAGCAGTTTTCTTGTCGCTGAGGATTGCAGTGAACCCGGAGAACACCGCGAGAGCTATGGCTGCTTCCTAGGCTTTGGTAGGGTAGAGGACATGGACAGAGCCTGCTACTCGCAAGATTGCGTCGGTGTTGAGGGAGGTGCGAGTAGTAATTACGCTAAGTGCGTACAAGCTCGGTTAAAAGTGGTAGTGCGTCACGTCCATGTAGGCCACATCACGTCGCAAGGCGTAGTCGTCGTGTAAGGCTTGGGCTTGTGCTCACCGTCTACCAACATGTCGTCTTGCAACCATGTTTTTCAGCAGTGGTTTGATGAGAAAACGTTGACGTAAAGTCAGAGGTATAGAGACTGGGTCTGCGCCCGATAGCGAGGCGGTGAGTCTTATGCGAGTGAGTATCCAGCGGCCGGTCTTGCTACTGTGAAGTCTCTGAATCTGTGCCCTGCGATGAGCTTCGATCAGTTCGTTGACAGTGTTGTGGATGGTGAGGCTAACGAGAAGCGACGTAGAGGTCGTGCAAATGAGTCCAAGAGCCGTCTTGTACAATTTGCGTATAAGTTGGTCCAGTGTGTCCCTCTCGCATCCCAGTGGGCGCAGGTATGGTAGCGCGTACGTGAGACGCGATATAACGAATGCGTGGATAAGCTGTAGTAGCTCTTTTTCTTTCATGCCTGGCTTTAGAGAAGACACGCGAGCAATGAGGCGAGTTATTTGAGTGACGGCAACGATGAGGCCTTTCAGTGCGATGGTGTTCCCTTGATTTGATTGAATAATAGGCCTAAAATACGGATGTGCTCAAATTGTGGTACGGCTACACCGTTTACATAGATTTGGATGGCCGGTTGGGGAGCGTACTTGCTCTGACGATGGTAGGGTGGATGAAGCAGCAAGAGATCCGACTTGCTCTCCGAACACATGATGCCTGCCTGCGTCGCGTGGCTAACGAAGGCATCGGTCGCACGTTTGAGGGACTCCTCTATCTCGCCATCTGAACCTGTAGTCGTCCTTAGCATGACATCGTTTGCATAGATAGTATGACGAAGGCCCGAGATGCCATCGAGTGAAGGAGGCAGCGTGCGCATAGCAAGGTTTAATAGAAATGGAGACAAAGTCGCTTCTTAAGGAGTGCCTCTGCCGCCTAGTGTAAGGTGTTCAGAGGCGTAGCCACCAGCTAACGATATTTCAATAGTACGGTTCGAAAGGAAGTCACGCAGTCACGCGTACGTTCGCCCGGGTCAATGGCGGAGAGGTTTAAGGCGAGGGCTTTGTGTCGCACCGAGTCTAATGCCTTATGAAGATCTAGACTGAGCACGGCGCGAGTGCCGGCCTTTGGCGGGGTACGAAGGAGGTCATGGTGTATTTACACTAGCGCGTCTTGCGTCGATAGGTAAGCGCAAAAGCCAAGCATCGTGGGAGGGAGACGCTCGTTTTCTTCAGCGTAGGTCTGTAATCGGGAAAGGACAACGTGTTCTATTAGCTTACCGATGCAAGATGTCAGCGATATGAGGCGTAGGTTGCCGATGTCAATTTTCTTGCCATTGTGTGGGTATTATTACGAGCCTCGCGTGTTTCCACTCTTGTGGTTTGTGTCCCGAGCGCCAGCACTCGTTAGCCTACCACGAGAGCGCAGCCACCGATTTAACGTCGAGATTTCGAAGGGACTCGTTGCCTACGCCATCAAGATCAGGCGGCGACGTTTTGCGAAGTTTGAGCATTGCGGCATAAATTTCCGCCTCCGTAATATCTTCGTCCATTTGAGGCTTCGGTTTGCAACTGTATGGAGAAAAGCGCTCAGGCGGTGCGTTCGGCTGGGCGAGGTTCACGTAACGACGAGCCAACTCTTCGAGCAGCTCGGCGTCCGTGCCAGGGTAACGATGTAGCAGCCAGTGAAGCTGTTTTTGTGCAGACGATTTGAACGCACTGGGACCGAGCAAGTGTTGTAGAAGGTGTCACGTTCTTTTGGAGCTCATCTGCCCGTTGAGACTACCACAAGGCTCACCCCACTGCTGTCGCGCGAGGGCGAGGCTGGCGTTCTGAATTTCGCGCGCTAACAGTTTGATGCGGTGGCGCAATTTATTGTTGTGGCGCTTCCGGCGCCACCTGCGCATGACGCCAGCGTGGGCGTCCCACATGTGGAGGAGGCGAGAGTCGGTTGTGGGCAAGTCAGTGGTAGTCCCCCCTTCACGGCACTTGTTCTTCAGGCAAATGGCCGAATTTTGGCCAATCGTTAATGCGAGCAGTGGGTTTTGGGTTCCTGCTGAGGTGCGTTTGAATTGTTATCACGAGAATGTTATGGTCACTGCTCAATAAAATGCCCGTGTTGTCCCAAGTAGCACGCGTGACGTTCTTGCTCAGTGTTAAATTCGGCGATGTGGCACGGCACACACTGTAGCCTATGCGTGTGGGTGGCTGCTGCAGATTGTTAAGTAGGGTAAGGCGAAGGTCTTGTACTAACGACTATAGCTTTCTTCCTTTCGGATCCGTGTGCGTGTAGTCCCAATCGGGATGTCGTGCGTCACCGAGGAAGAGCAGCTGCGCGTCTTCGACGAGAGTGATCGTCTAAGTGAAGAGGCCAGAGAAGTCTGCCACTTTCTCACGAGGGGAACTGTACACATTCAGGACAAAGAGCGACTTACCTTAGCGTTTGCGTGGTAGAATCTCTACGATCGTATGCTAAATTCCCGTTGCTTCAAATTCGTGCTCTACAGCTGTGAGGCTGTTGTGAACGAGCATTGATGTGCAGGGGGTAGCATGCATATCAAGCTGATAGTAGGCCACATAAAGGAGGAGGGTGGAGAAAGTAGACGTCTCTCGCAAGGCGATAACATAGGGGGCCAGTTCCGTCGCCTGTGGATCAGCATGCAGTTTCTGTACGAGCTGCTGCAGTGGCTCCATATCCTATGGTACCCCCTGCAGTTCCACTGCTACATTATCAGTGTGGGACACGCCATGATTTAAGCCATTGCAGGCTTGGGGCCCGTCTGCAGTGTGGCAGGTTGGCCGAACGTGGCGGATGCTCGTGGCGCTCGAGCCGTGCATTGAATTCGGTGGTGGTGGACTTTATGTATTTTTTTAAAGCATTCAGTGAATCATTAGTGACCTCCGCATAACTCATCAGGTCGTTTAGTGAGGTGTTGATGTTCTCAATAACGCGTTGCAGAGTGTTGAATCGGACCTGAAATTTCACGTCTAGTGTTGAGAGAGCCGCAGATACTGATTTAGAGACCGCGGCAGCAATATCGTTTCGCCATGAAGCGACGTGATAGAGGTGTTTGCTTTGCGCTTACCTGCGGGCTGCGATTGCGGCTGGGATTGGGAAGAAACGGCCTCCATCGGTTCCCACCTGGTTGTGGCTGGTTGCTCAAGGGTTTCGTCCAGCTTTGCTTCTACTGACTGGATGTATTGTGTGAAGTTCCCTTTCGGGAACATTAGTTTAGAGAGCTGAGACTGCTGCAAGGAATGTTGTGCCTTCAGTGAGGACTTCTCCCTGACCAACTCCCTCACCTGTGGATTCTGCGACGACGTCGGTGATGCTTTGAGTGATGCTGAGAGACCCAGGCTAATTTCTTGGGACTAGGCACGGATGATGACTGTGACAATCCCTGGGACGAACCACGGGAGGAGGAGAGAGGTGACGAGGACGAGTTGAGGTAGCTAGCAGAATAGTACCACGATCGGGACTTGGACCGTGACTTGGACCGTGAGTTGGAGCTGGACTTGGACCAGGGCCTGGACCAGGGCCTGGACCGGGACCTGGACCGGGACCGGCCATGAATGCAGGGTCCAGAATGGTCGGTTTGTTGATGCTTCTGCGGCTGGTTGAGAGGAGGGTACGACCGCTCTTGGGAAGGTGAGTGACTGGTGCGAACGATTGATGGCTGCTGCTGCTGTGGCATTTCGTCGGGTATTTGCGCCGGTGCATGGCCGGACGGGGTAGGCTTCTTAACGAAACGGTATTAGCAGTTCGAACTATTCGTTGCGCGACCGCCCTTACAAACAATGCAGCGGGCACGGCATGTCGGTTGGGTGCCCTGTTGAATTGGCGGGTGTTCCTCGCCACAACGCTCACAGCGGTTGCGTTTTGCATGAGGACATACGTAAGTTTGATGACTCACCTTGCCGCAGGTAAAGCATGCTTCTACTCTTGGGTAAAAGGGGTAGAAACAAATGTAGACGCCATGATAGAAGACCCATCGTGGCACACAGTCTCCAAGCGTGGTGACGAGTACGTAGTTGGTCCGTCCCATGCGACGGCCACCCACGACAGGCATAGCGGGGTAGCTCTGTGGCATGTCCTTCGAAATTTCTGCATCAGTAAAGCTGTCGTGGGCGTTGAACATGATGCCACAAAATGCATCTTCAGGTGGTTGGGCATAAACGTGAAATTCGATGGTCCGGATACCAATCTGCAGTGACGTGATGCGAAGGTAGGCTTGTGTTCGGATTAATTCTCACACACATTGAGGGTAAAGGTGTTGTCTGTGGGATGAAGCCGCACTTATTAGCGGAACGCTGGTGGCTGGTCAAGTAGCAACACGGCCTTCAGCATTGCTTCGTACAGTTGCCATAGCAGCAGCTTTGTAAGGTCGACGGGACCGTTTGGCCGTCGCATGATGTAGAAGGCGTTATGTCCCATCCTAGGTAGCAGACCGTGTCTTCACAGGGGTGGCGGGCGCGGTTTCAGGTCGTCACTTGGGAGCGTTACTTGCTGGGCGCCGCTTATGTGTGGCGTTGCCTGGCGGAGCTCCAGGCGTCTCTACTCCTGCGCGCAAAAAACAGATAATGGCTGCCAAGAGCCGTCCTACCATTTTCCTGCCGAAATCGTGGTTCCTTCAACCATTTACTTGATGTCGGGGGCGACTGGGCGCTGCGGGGAGAAACGCTAAAGCATTGGCAAAAGCTTACGTGAAAGAAAGCGGGAGCGTTGCAAGAGATGCGGTAGCAAGAAACGCACGTTCACTCTCTTCGAAAGCTCGAGAGGGTCCCCGCGGTAGCCTAGTGGCTAAGGTACTCGGCTGCTGACCCGCCGGTCGCGCGAATGCATCCCGGCTGCGGCGGCTGCATTTCCGATCGAGGCGCCATTGTTGTAGGCCCATGTGCTCAGATTTGGGTGTACGTTAACAAACACCGGGCGGTTCGAATTTCCGGAGGCTTCCACTAAGGCGTCTGTCGTAATCCTACGGTGGTTTTGGGACGTTAAACCCCACTTATTATTCAATAAACCAATTATTCAGCTTTTGAGGTTTCAAAATTTTCAGCAATTTTTAGCGTTACAGTGAAGGATGTTTTTAAGTCTTCATGGTGAAACATTCTTTTCGATTTTAACAAAAGGTCCGTGTATTAACGCAAGCATGTCAAATATCGGTTCCACTTCACTGCCGAAGGTGAAGTGGGAGCACAACAAAATAGTCTGCTTTTTTGCGTGAACGTCTATTCAATGCTTTAGAATACCATGGCCTACCTGCATCACCGTGAATGCGTACCATGGGGACGTGTTTTTTTATTAGTGTGTGTAGCCGCTGTTTTAAACAACAACTACTTACCGTTTACAGACCTCGAAAACGCTGACTGGCAAAAGTGCTCATAGAATATTTCTTGGTGCGAGTCAATGGCTGAAAAGTCATCTTTATTGTAGTCTAGGACACATTTTATAGATTGATTTTTTCATATGGGTAGAGACAGAAAGAAATGTTATAACTTTGTGGTCTCTCAGCTCAATAGGAAGTGCGATCGCCTGAAAAAGATCAGGGTTCGAGACAACAACTAAGTCAAGTACCCTGCTACGAGTGGGTAGGTGAACAGTTTGAACTAGGTCGAGCAGTCGGGTAAGCTGGAGAAAATTGCTACAAAGTCTAGAAGATGATGTTAGTTTTGTAAAGTCAATATATTGAAAGTTGAAGTCACCGCAAAGTAAGTATAAGGTGTTGTGGAACCGCGAGATGAGGTGAGTGATTATCGAGTAAAGCTCATCGGTGAAAGAGGGGTCACAGTTGGGAGGTTGGTAACATGCAATGAGGATGACCATAGAGCCGGTTGTAAGTGACAACTTGATGCATAAAATTTCTTGAGTTCTCTTGATGGCAATCTGGCATGAGCTGAAACAGGAGTGGATAAATACCAGCCCGCCATCTCTTTTATGTGTGTTCCTATCGCACCTATAAATAAAGAAGCTGGAACATCATGCGAAAAATTGTAGTAGCCGACGTCAGAACTAAGGCATAATTCTGTGAAGATTGCGACGTTACTGTGATTATTAGAAAGAAATTCACAACGATATCTTTTTTGGCCAGAAACTGCGAATGTTGGTAAGAACAACGGATACGCGATAATGGTTTGTCTTTGCAGGCACAGGGAAATCATTAGTAACATTCGCGGAAAGGAAGCGTGTAGGAGCATGCAGTGATGGCTAAGACTGGAGTAAAATCGCAGCATCGGCATCTCAATTGTAGGTATAGTGCTTGTTTCAAACAATGAGCTTGTCGAACCTGATTTTTAAAGATAAGCTCTTCTCTTGCGCGTATTGATACTGCTTACGCCTGGCTAGACGCGCACATGCAGAATAATCTTCGCGCTTAGCAAAGAAAGTGTTCTTGAGTTTCTCGCTGCGAGAAATAACAGCCGATTTTTTTTGAATGCGAGAACTTTACAAGAACATGCCGGTTTTTAGCAGTATGGTAGCGGTCCAGTCTATGGGCACGCTCAATATTTTTAGAGTCCAATATTACGCCAAGTTTTTTGGAGCAAAAGAAAAAAACCTCACCCTCGAACTGCTCCCAGGTTTCACCGTCGGCATCGAGAAGACGAAAGAAAACCAAATTACAGTGGCGCAGCTGATTTTCATATTCTTCGCATTTTTCAGTGAGGACTCTAATTTTGGACGAATGTTTCAGAATTGTGGAGTCGTTCACTGGGTTATCACAGAGGCTAATCACCTTATGAGCCTCCAGAATTAAATGATGTGTCGACACGTGCTGCAAGGCGGCTTACCAAGCTGTTAGTATTGGACTGCGCTGCTCGTATCAAGGCAAGTTCGGTTAGTACGGAAGATTGCGCTTGCTCGAGACGAGATATAACGTCATGAATAGTTTAGAGAGAGGGAGCGGAGCTAGAGGCCGGTTGGATAGGGCTACGGTGGAGTTCGTTGTCTCCCGATAGCATATGCAGCAAGCACACAACATTAACATCCATGCAAGCCGAAGAAAAGAAGACGTTAAATGCATCACGCCAACGGGATAACAAATCAATCAGGCAGTCAGGGCACAACGCCGCGATTAGGAACCAGTTACTTGTATGGCAGCATTATACAAGTGGGAAGTAAGTAACCTGCGTTGAAAAGGGCATTCGCATGACTTAATTTTCGACGGTGTGGTGCCCTAACTGGCATTCCAACGTGGTCGGTATTTGTAGGAGCGGCGCCGCTCCTGCTCACTGTGTTCGACACAGTGGCCAGATGAAAAACGAGTTGAACATCATAAGCGGCAGGAGGAGTAGCACAACGCTTTGATCGCAGTAGATAGGCGGTAGTTCTATCCGTTCCTTGAAGCCGTTTCTGAGTAGAGTGTCAGTGTCGTCGCCGTTGGCAAGGACAGTGGCTTCCCCGAGGAGAACAGCCTGCATTAGAAAGGGCATTCGCATGACTGGATTTTTTATGGTGTCGAAGCTGTGCGCATTTAATATATGCCTCTATTCGAGTTTTCGCGTGCAGGGGTATACACAACGTGGCGCAGGATAGGGTGGCAATATTCAGTTGGGCAATCTTCAGGTTAGTCATTGCATGGTTCACATCAGGCGTGCTGACAGCAATGGTGCTGTTGGTCGGGTGAATGCGCATCTGGTCGATGTGCAAGACTGCAGGCCAGTCGCCAACAGCAGTGCGCTTAAGGCTTCAGAGAGGCGGGCTGGCCCCAGATAGACTAGGTTTAAAGAACCGTGCGGTCGCAGAACTATTTTCTAGTCTTCCAGCAGTAACCCTCGCAGTGGACGTTGCTTTGGAGCAGGCGGTGGCCGTTCACGGCGAGGAGTCGGCTTGTCGCGTTGGCGGTCGGTGGTCACATTGTACGCCATTTTTGAGAGCTGCTCAAGATCAGGACGGCGATATCGGCGTTCCATGGCCTACGAAGTGTGTGACCATTATTCGTCATTAGGCTCTTAATAAGTGATTGGCGTTCCTGTTACGAAATTTTCCTTTCCTTTGCCTGGAAGTGCAATGAAGGATGAACCGAGCTTCTCGGGCAGCCGAGTTTCATTCGAGCTCACTTGTGGTGGCCGCGGCATGAAGATAGTGCGGAGCGCGGGATAGCAGCGTTCATAAAAATGTCTACACGAACGCACGTGTCATTGGAAACCCATGTGAAGTAAGATCACATAAATGACGTATACCACCTTTCCCGGATGGACGGTGCCCTTCTCCGACTATACAGCACGAAACACTTTCCATGAATGGCCCTAAAGAGAGGTCATAGACAAAAGGAGGTATGCTAGAGAGATCAAGAAAAGACTGCCTTTATAACACCAAACGGTTTTTTTTTTCAGTTCATGGTCATGCCTTTTGGTTTTTGCTTCACACCTGCGGTGATAGTATGACCCGAACCGTAGAAGACAACTGACATCGCTGCCTTCCCGCCACACACCAACATGAAGGCTGTGGTTCGAGTTCAAGTGGGAAACGCTGCACGAGGAAGCATTTCAAGAACTAAAACTACGCCTGCTGACACCGCCGATACTAGCACACTTCGGCGAATACACCGACACGGAAACCTACAACGACGCAAGCAGGTTAAGGCTCGGAGCCCCCCAGGTGCAGAAGATTTAAAAACTTCGAAGGGTCAACAGGTATGTGTGCCGGTCGCCACCCAAAATGGAAGCTAAATACTCGACAACAAAAAAGGATTTTCGT